TCTCTGTACAGAGGAGCTGACACTCTAATGCCCCCCCACAGTCACGCACTATTATTATACATTGATATAGCTCACACATATACCAAAGTTCTGTACAGAGAACACTGAGCCAGTAACAGCATTCTCTGTACAGAGGAGCTTACACTCTAATGTAGGGCTGCAACAACTAATCGACATAATCGATTATAATTGATTATTGAAAAAGTTGTCAAATTTTTCAATCATCGATTAATCGGCTTCCGATTGGTTGCCCCTGGTCACGGCTCCACACTCGTTGCACGCCACACTTCCTCCCCACCTCACGCTCGCCGCTGCCAGACCCGCCCGGCCGCATCCACGCTCCACACGCAGCACCTACTCCCCGCCACACGCTCACCGCTCGCCCACATCCACGATCGGCACAGGGACACGGTTAGAAGTAAGGAGGAGCAGGGGTGTGGGCGGATGACAGCCACCGATAGACAGGCCCGATCTCAGAAACAAGTTGCTGGAAGACTGCTCAGGTAAGCCTGCACTTTCCCACACATGGTGCACTATAATGTATTGCTGGTATTTGTATTCCTCTATGCCTGATGGTACATTGTGCTGTATATTATACATAGGAATACACATCCAGCAATACATTATACACTGTATGTATCATGTATTGCTGGGATTTGTTGTATTCCTCTATAGCTGGTGGTATTCTGCAGTGTGCTGTATAATGTACTATTGCTGGGATTTGTTGTATTCCTCTATAGCTGGTGGTATTCTGCAGTGTGCTGTATAATGTACTATTGCTGGGATTTGTTGTATTCCTCTATAGCTGGTGGTATTCTGCAGTGTGCTGTATAATGTACTATTGCTGGGATTTGTTGTATTCCTCTATAGCTGGTGGTATTCTGCAGTGTGCTGTATAATGTACAATTGCTGGGTTTTGTAGTCCTCTATAGCTGATGCCATTCTTCATCATTGTTGTATAATTTTACACTTTGCATTACACTATGTTTGCACTCTAATGTCCCCTCCCCCCCACAGTCACATCAGTCTCCGTACAGAGGAGCTTACACTCTAATGTCGCCCCCCACTATTATTATACAGTTATATAGCTCTGACATATACTGCAGTGTTGTACAGAGAACACTGAACCGGTCACATCAGTCTCTGCACCAGATCAGCTTACACTCTAAAGTCTCCCCCCCACAGTCACATCAGTCTCTGTACAGAGGAGCTTACACTCTAATGTCCCCTCCCCCCCACAGTCACATCAGTCTCTGTACAGAGGAGCTTACACTCTAATG